CTATGAGCATCCTGGCATTATTCGACTGCAGCAGCAATTGCTTATCCTTCTCAAGGACTTCCTGTGCCTGTTGCCGGACTCGGCGGTGGATGTGGTCCTGCGCCACTACGTAAAGCTAGAGCTGCTCCTGGTGCTGGCCAACCAACGAAGCTGCGCGATCCGCCATGCTATTATCCAGCTCCTGGACGTGTTGACGAAGCGTCTGAGCAACGGGGAGTTGGGCTCCGCGTCCAAGCTTCTGTATCCCCTGCATCTGGCCAACCAGCTGACCATCCACAGCTGCGATGTGGCCATGTTCGAGGCCTGCCTGACGTGGATAAGTGGCGTGCACGGTTGCTTGGCGGATGTGCTCACGTGTGAGGCTTCATTGAAGATTCGTCAACGATTCGGACTGCAATCTCTTCTAGCCATCGCCGAAGACACAGATCCCCAGGCAGCCTTTCAAGTTCTACTGCGTCTTTATCAACAGGTGAGATTCGCTTTTACCTTTGAGAAGATTGGAACCTTCAAACTATCCAACTCTTCTAGAACCCCGATGATCAGAGTAGTCTAATAGAAGCTGGCCTGCTGCAGTGCGCCATCAAGGCTCTCTACAAGATCTACTCCTTGCGCCTGGGTCAGGTAAATGCGGATGAATCGATTGTGGAGCTGCTGGCCACTATTGGGGAACGGGCTCTGCGCTCAGTTGGTCAGATAAATGTGAGTACCTGGGCCATAAGCTAATGCGATCATTCTAAGATTATTTTCCCTCCATAGCTGGTTTGGGACATTCTCAACCTGTTGTCCTTCTACCAAGACAAGCAGACCCAGCAAATCATGCGCAGCTTCCGCACGGTTCAAGCCCAACTCCAGCTGGAGTGGCTAACAAAGTTCTTCGAACCGAACAGCTTCCGGATTTCGGTGATCGGCGATTCCGGTCTTAGCCAGACGGAGCTCCGCACCAGAGTCGACATGCTCATCGACCGCTGCACTCAGTTTTTCACCGTTGGTATTGCCCAGACCACCGGACCCTCATACGTGGCCAGTTCCCAGGAGCTGGCTCTGTTCCAGCTGCTCGTTTCCTACGGCATTTCCAGCAACCAGCGATGCAATAACTTCATCGCCTGGGGACTACAGCCGTCGCGTCCGCGGGATCTGAGGTCCTACATTGTGGATGCCCTTTGGCGCTCACAGCAGGACGAATGCCACCGGGCCATCATTTGCGATGGTAAGATGATCAAGTCCCTGCTCTGGCTCTCCATGCAGCAGGATTTGCCCAAGCCCATCGAGAACCTGCAGCCACTTTGTGATGCTCTGGGCATAAAGGAGAACGACTGCTCGTGGAATCTGGTGCACGAGTTGGACAGGCTCAACCAAAACCGGACCAACATGGCGGCCAAACAGAAGACCCTTTTGGAGAAGACGGTACACAGATTCGAGCCGTTGGTGCAGCACTGCATAGAGTCCTCCATGGTGACCACCAGGCGGGTGGCTGAGCTTCAGGTGGTTTCTTAGAATATATTTCCATTTCCAAAACAGTAACTTAATTCTATTTCAAAGAATGCCGAACGCAAGGCCCTGATGTGCCACATGAAGGTATACGACGACACCTATACCTACACAAAGTGGCTGGAGATAATCCGTCGCATGACCCACGAGGGCGCCCCTTGGTACTGTGCCGAGCGAGCCGAGTGGTATGTCTCAATGGGCTTTTCTTGAAACACCCTTTTCATCAGTCCTTCATTTTTTAGCTCTTGGGAGTTGGACGACACGGAGGGACCGTCTCGAGTCCACACCAGACTGCGCCGTTGCCACCTGGACATCGGCAGACGTTTCTTCATGAACGAATACCGACCTGGGCAGGGTCCGCGCGAAGATGCCGAGCCCTATGTGCGTCCGTTGGACTACCTAATTGCCAGCTACGATCAGCAGTTGAACATCTCACTCAACTCCCAGATCTTGTACAACTTTGCGGCCAAGTTCTTACCCGTGGACGGGGAGATCGAGGGCGAGATTATCATTACCGATCTGAAACTCTACTTTCTGGCCACGTACCGGTGTCGGTACTTCAACGTTAACTGTGATATCGCGAACATAACTGAGATCTGGCTGAAGCGCTACCAGCACCAAGAGACGGCCTTCGAGATTCTCCTGGACACCAACAAGTCCCTGTTCTTTTCGCTGCAGAACGCTGACGACTGGAAAATAATGCGCGACGTATTCTGTGATAAAATCGTGGCCCCTCCGGACCAGTCCAAGGTGCTGGCCATCACCCAGCAGTGGCGCGAAGGTTTGCTCACCAACTGGGAGTACCTGATGACCCTAAACCAAATCGCCGGACGCACCTACAACGATCTCATGCAGTATCCCGTCTTTCCCTGGGTGCTGGCCAACTATAACTCGGATATTCTGGATCTGCGGGAGGAGCACAATTTTCGGCGCCTCTCCAAGCCGATTGCTGTGCAGCTGGAGGAGAATGAGAAGCACTACATCAGCAACTATACGGTAAGGTCACAAATACTTATGGGCCTTGGCATCAACCTAATGTTTGGTCTGAATATTCCAGTACATCGACAGCACCAACACGACTATGGGATCCCTAATTCTCAAGCCGTACCACTATAGTTCCCATTACTCCAACTCTGGCACTGTGCTCCACTTTCTAGTGCGGGTTCCGCCATTCACCAGCTACTTCCTGCGCTACCAGGACAACGACTTCGACCTACCGGACCGCACTTTTCATGCTCTAAACACTACCTGGCTTCTGGCCAGTCGTGACAGTCCCACAGACGTTAAGGAGCTCATTCCGGAGTTCTTTTGCCTGCCAGAGATGTTTGAGAACTTCGAGCGCTTCAATTTCGGCTGCCGGCAGAACGGGGAGCGGGTGGAGGATGTCTCCCTGCCGGCATGGTCTCAGAGGGATTCGCGGCTGTTCGTACTCATACACCGGCAGGCTCTGGAGTCGGAAATCGTGCGGAACCAGCTGCACCACTGGATTGATCTGATCTACGGCTACAAACAGACCGGGGAGCATGCCGTGGAGGCCATCAATGTGTTCCACCCAGCGGTAAGGTGCCTAAAATTACCCATTTGCGTGAGCTTATCGTTTCAATGTCTCCCCAGACCTATGCTGTGTTCTTGGACTCTGAGATCAGTGATCCCATCGAAAGGGAGGCTGTGAAAACAATGGTGAAGACCTACGGCCAGATGCCACGGCAGCTCTTCAAGGCCCCGCACCCGGCTACCAAGGCCCTGGACTACTCGTTAGTGGACAAGCCTATAGTGGCAACGGTCCGCGGCCTGCGCTGGGGTGTCTACGTGGGATCGCCGCAGCTAAAAGCTCCCTCTTGGGCCAACATCCATAAGATACCAGGCACCGAGCATCTGGTTAGCTTCAGCAACACCAATGCGGTCTACGCACTGGCTTCAAGGGCTAGTGTGATGCAGGGCGCCGAGCCGGACACTTACAATGTGATCTCGTGGGGCTACGACGATCGGATTGTCAGAATCCAACCCCTGAACAAGCCCCAGGCCAAGCCGAAAAACCTGCTGCACAACGGCACGTTCGATGACATAACCGCCTGCGGATGTGATGTGAACTCCAACCAGCTCTGGTTCGGCCACAAGTCGGGCCGCGTCAGTGTCTACAAATGCATAGGGCTGGACTCGCAGCAGCGTGCCTCCACGAAGGGCAGGTCGAGCTATGCCCGCGGATTCAGCCTGTCTTACAACTCCGCCTTCCGCAAAATGACAAGCAAGGGGATGGGGGCCGGAGGAGGTTCGGATAGAACGGACGAGGCGGGGGGTCTACATTCGACCCACTCGGCTGCGTCGGTCAACTCGGGCAGCCACTCTAGTAGCGATGCCCTGCAGCGAGATGGTGCCGACCTTTCCTGGCTGGGACCCACCCTGCTAGTAAGGCACACCGACGAGATAACCTGCATCACCCTGTCCGTGGAGTTCAAGATCGCTGTGACGGCGGGACGTGACGGCATCGCTGTGATCTGGGACCTAAACGAGTGAGTAGACGTAAGGAATTCTGAATCCCAATGTTTTCATAAATCTCTTCCACCAGCTGGAGCTACGTGCGAACGATTGCCCGACCGGCTGAGATCCACCAGTCACCCATAACGCACGTGGCCATCAGTCCCACGCTGGGGGATATTGTCACCGTGCATACGCTGCCACAGTCCCAACCCGCGGCAGCTGGATCGGAGGCCCAACCTCCGGCAGCTCCTCAGAGAAGCAACACCCTTGCCGTGGCCGACGAATGCTTTGAGGTGACGGAGGAAAACCTGGACGATTTTGTCAATGTGAATGTGAATCCCAATGGGAAGTCCATCCTCCGGCTGCACTCGGTCAACGCTCGGTATGTCCAGCATCTGGTGCACGAAGACCGCATCCAGGCCGTGTGCTACTCCTACATCAAGGAGGGCGTGGGGGTGAACGTAATCGCCACAGCAGTGGAGGGAGGTTTTGTGCGCTTCTGGTCCAGCTGGAATCTGAGCTTCGTCAGTGAACTGACCACGGGAACATCGCCCATTCGAAGGTGGGTTGTGGAACAGCTAATCATAGTCCTTATTAATTCTGAGATCTTCAACAGCATCTGCTACTCCACCCATCAGCATTTGGTGGTGCTCACGCGCGAGTCCCACATCCAGGTGTGGGAGTCGGAAGGTCTCTACGGGAATGCTCCGAAATTTCCTCAAATCGTCTATAAATAAAGGCCGAATATACTCAATAAACAAACTCAAAGCATATCAATGACAGACACATAAACTGAAGGTGAACCAAGGAAGGATTTCCAGCAGCGACCGCCCCAAGTGCGGTTTACTACATAATCAATATCATAGGACTGTAAGATAGGCCTAAGACTCATAGAGCTGTTAAGTACACCTTTTGTACCAAATCTTTTTATTGCTTACCTCACCTTTCCCCATTTGTTTGTTTCCCCCACGCACCTGCTGCCTTCAATTGTTGATATTTTCAAAAACAAAAAAAAACGATCGCATTTTGCAAAAATCTAATCGATTCTTCTTATTCCTAGGGGGCATATCCGTGAGGATACTCTTAATTCTAAGTACACTCCTTATGAGCGACTTTCTCGCCGACTGTCAGCACTTCCACGGCGGCGGCTTGCTGCTTCCGCCTTCACTCTTTGGTCTGCTAGCTGGTGTCCCCTTTTTGGAGCTGGTCAAGGCCAAAATCTCGTCCAGCTTGTCGAAATCACCCGGCGACTTGCTGAGCAGCAACTCGATATAGGCTTGCAACTTGTCCATGGGAGAGGCGGGATCCCGCTTGCCGACCACATCCAGGTTGTTCTTCTCCGTGCTGTTGCTGCGCTGCGACTTACTGGTCTTCGGTGTCTCAACATCGGGATATATACGGGCGTTGTTCAGCTCCGGGGACTCGCCCTCCGTATCGCTAGCACGGGCTTGTGAGTTCTGCGGGGAGGTCAGAATGGCTAGGGCCTGCTGCCACTGGGCCTCCATCACCCCGTGCAGTTTCTCCGCAATGTCAGCACTGTATTGGAAGAGAATTTTAAGAAATTTTTCAAAACTTAAAATCAATTATCTTACCGCTTGGTTTTGTAGCAACTCAGCTTGAGTTCCAGCTCGTCAATCTTCTTAGACGCATTGGCCAACTGGAGGCGGTATAGCTCCACCTCCTCGTGGTGCTTCTCCTGGATGAGACTAAGCTCCTGGTTATTTTTCTCGTTTATCATTTCCAGCTGCTTAACAGCCCGCTCGGCTATCAGTCTTTCGCTCTCGCGTGCCTCGGACTTTAGGTGCTCTTCGTTTCTGTCCAGTTGGTTTTGGAACTCCTGCATCTTTTTGGCCACCACGTTTTCCATTTGCTGCTGGTAATACTGCTTGAGGGATTTTTGCTGAACTTCAAGCTTTTTTTTTAGATTAGTCTGAAAGAAAGATACAAAGGTTGTAAGTAAGTTCATGTTGGGATTCTGGCCACAAGCCAACAATCTATAACTTGGCCAATGTGGATGACTTTATGTAGCCCACCTCGGTCTCCGTAAGACTGGCCAATGTCTCCTGCAAGGACTTTCGTTGGCTTTCCAAGGAATCTGCCCGAGATTTTTGTTTTTGATGGTACTCTTGTAGCATTTCCTTTTGATTAGTTAAGGTATTCCTCTCCTTCTCCAGTTCCTCTATGCGGGTCTTTAGCTAAAAACACAGATTTTAATAACTTGGCTTCTAAATGTTTTGTATGAAAGTTACCTTCTCCTGTTGGTGGTCCACTTTGACGAATTTGTCCCGCAGCTTGTTTAGTTCCACATGAGTTAGTTCCTCCGACCTTCTGCTGCCGTGAAGCTGCGCCTCCATTTGTTCCATTCGGTTTTCCCACTCCTTGGCATCCTGCCTGAGATGGTCCAGTTCTCCCTCCAGTTTTTCGTTCTTCTCTTGGAACTTGGTGGCCAAATTCACCGCCTGGGCTAGCTCGTTCTGGAGGGTATCAATTTTGGTATGGTACTCGCCCCTCGCAGCCTCCAATTGGTGCTGTGAATCCCGCAACTGTTGGACTTCATAGCTAAGACTTTTGGCTAACTGTTCAGCCTCTTTTAGTGCCGCATCTTTGGAGCGATCCACGTCGATGGCCACTGAAATGCGCTGCTGATATTCCAGCAGCTGTGACTGGAGAGAATGTACAGTTTTTTCCAAGTGCTGACGGCGTAGCTGTTCCTCCTTGAGGGATGGCGAGCATGGGAGGCGATTGGGCGTGTGATGGTCGTTGACAGTCCCGGCTCCAGAGCTATTCTTGCCCCAAAGCTCACTCAAACTGATGAGCTTGTGGTCTGAATTCAGACTGTTGCGGGTGCACCTGACAGGTTCCGGAGCCAGTCCGCAAGAAGAGGAGCTCGGCAAACGAATGCTTGGCAACGAGTTGGTTGCTGTATGACTTTCCTGCGTAATCCTCTCATTCCTCAAATGATTATCGCTGTGGTGGTGCAGGAAATCCGGACGCCACCGGTGCGCGTTCTTTTCGTCCAAATAGTGATCGATCTCCACCAGAATATTATCATCCATGTGCCGCTGCCGTGGAGCGTCTACGGAGCCACTCTTTGGTGTGGAGTGCACCATGCCGTGAAGTTCCCTGGCCTGTTTTACCTCCGCCGATGCAGTCCTCACTGTATTGGTGGATATTGTCGAGATATCCGATAGGGCATCATAGTGCCGGTCATCTTCTACATCCAGGCCAACATTCTGCAATCGGGTGTTGATGTGGTTGAGCTCGGACTTCTTGCTGGGATGCAGGAACTGGTAGGCGGCACTGGTTGGAGCTGGAGGCGGGGGCATGGAGAGTGCATCCTGCGCTGCGAACGCGCTCATCTTCACCTCTCTCAGCAGCCGCTCCGCCGTGTCTGTGTAGTAGTTTGGCGGTATGAGCAACAACAGATCGGTGTCGTCCGTATCCGTATCGCTCATTCCTCACTCATAACTTCCAGATGCTGCTGATCGCCAAAAACCTGCGGCAGATGCAAGTGGTTTGTTGTTGCTATAGGAATTAGGGATGGCCGAGAAAGTAAACAATATTTCGATAACCAATGCGCGGCTGTTTTCTAACACAGCGTTAGAAAGTGCAGTGTTGCAAAAGGCTTGTTGAAGAAATAAAGGAGCTCCGCTTGGCGCAAAGATTTTTGTAGAAACCTTCCCGCGCCTCAGGATGGCAGATGCAACCTTGATTGTAAATGGATCAACCCCGATCCACTTGGAGCCGGATATAATCTACCGCATCGGGAGAGGAGCAGGAGTGGAAATACCCATTGCAGATCAAGTGAGAGGAAGACCTGCTGACAGTAAGGTCTATGTATAAAATATCCTTTTTCACAGTCTATGGAACTGGCCCACGCCACCGCCTGCATCCTGCGCCGTGGAGTGGTTCGATTCGCCTCCGCCCTTGGTAGGATATTCGTCAATGGTGAAGAGAAGACTTTGACAGATGTCGGGAAGGAAGACGCCTTCAATGGCAAGGATGTGAAACTGCGTTTCGGAAATGTGGAAGCTATTCTAGAGTTTAAGGATGATGTTGATGGGGTAAGATCCCTTGTGATAGTCTCTGTGAATTCATGCCAACGGTCCTGTTTTCAGCACAACACCAGCAGTGGCTTCGGCGAATGCGTTCAGGACAAGAATGACCTCACCGGGGACAGTTTTGAAATTCCCGAAACCCAGCCACCACCGGAGGACACTAGTGTCAACGTTACTGCGGACAGTTTCTACATTCCAGAGACTCAGGCAGTGGTCTCCAATAGGCCGTCAACCGGTGGAAACATATCGCTGGGCGAGGACTTTATGATCCCAGAAACGCAGGTTGTTCCCCTTATGGAGCACAATGAAAGTACGCGTTGCAGCGAGGGGAGTTCCTCTGGATCGGGCAGCCACATACGTATCTGCACGCAGGATTTCAACGATGATGCCATCGATGACTTTGATTCATCGCTAATCCTAGGACATCCTCTTATGCCTTTGTCACCGCCAAAGGCAGATAAGAGAGTAGAGAATCCAGAAACCACTCGTGGTAAGGAAATATGGTTGAAAATTAAATATATTTTATTTCTTTCGTTTTCCAATCTGTAGAAAATCCAGAAGCCTCGGAACTGGAAATGAGTGCCTTGAATTGGAGTGTTTCAAATTCAAAATGCACTGCTTTGAACAGTACCAACCATCAGAATGAGGGCCATTCCGGTTTGGAAGCTTGTTTGACACCCACCTTGACAGGACTCAGCCAGGATATTCAAACACCCGATCTATTAGACAGCATTCTTGGTGACAAAGTGAAAGGAAACGAATCAAATGCCAGGCAAGAGGAACCAGCTATTCCCTCACCCGATCTATTGGACAGTAGTCTTGATGAGGCGCGATTATCTGGCAGTACATCAAATGCCAGCACATCACAGCTTTGCGGGGTACAGCACCTGGTTGTGGCCACAATAGAGACTCCAAGGCCAACTCCTGACGAAAAGGAAGATAATACTAACAAGGAACCAAACCAGGACTTGATTGCCACTCAACGATTTCCTGGAAGGAAGTTGATTGAAAGCGACGAGGAAGACGAACCAGTGAAGGAACCAAACCAAGACTTCATTGCTACTCAAAGATTTCCTGGAAGGAAGTTGACTGAAAGCAACGAAGAAGATGAACCTAATCGGGAAAAAAACACGGTTAAGGAACTAAACCAGGACTTCATTGCTACTCAAAGATTTCCTGGTAGGAAGTTGACTGAAAGCGACGAAGAAGACCAACCTACTCAAGAAAATAAAACGACTAGGGAACCAAACCAGGACTTCATTGCTACTCAAAGATTTCCTGGAAGGAAGTTGACTGAAAGCGACAAAGCAGATGAACCTAATCGGGAAAATAGCAGGGTTAAGGAACTAAACCAGGACTTCATTGCCACTCAAAGATTTCCTGGTAGAAATTTGGGTGAAAGCGACGAAGAAGACCAACCTACTCAAGAAAATAACACGACTAAGGAACCAAACCAGGATTTCATTGCCACTCAAAGATTTCCTGGTTTGAATTCGAAAGAAAGCGACGATAAAGACCAACCCAACCAAGATTTCGTGCCTACCCAATTGTTTATCCCTCCGCCTCAAAGCGGAAAGAATCAAAAGTTACCCGAATGTTTCAACAAAAATCTATCTCTGAACCAAGATTTCATTGAAACCCAAGTATTTCCGGGTAGAGGCAGTGCCATTCAGAATAAGGAAAACATTTCATCAGACAATGTTTCTTTAAAAGACGACTCCTCCAACGGATTCAAAGGTATGAGCACATTATTCACCAAGAAAATTAAAGCTATTTTTATACCCTTGCAGAGGGTATTATAATTTTGTCCAAAAGTGTGCAACGCAGTGAAGGAGACATCTCCGACCCTATAAAGTATATATATTCTTGATCAGGATCACCTCCTGAGTTGATATGAGCATGTCCGTCTGTCCGTCTGTCCGTCTGTCTGTCCGTCTGTCTGTCCGTCTGTCTGTCTGTCCGTTTCTACGCGAACTAGTCTCTCAGTTTTGAAGCTATCGTCTTGAAACTTTGCACACACCCTTCTTTCCTTTGCACGCAGTATATAAGTCGGAACGGCCGGGATCGGCCGACTATATCCTATAGCTGCCATATAACTGATTGATCGGAACTGGTATAACTTTGGTGTTTTGAGAGTTAGAGAGTTCAAATTTGACATGAGAGCTATTTTTGGCAAAATAAAACGACATGTCAAATTTCATAAGGATCGGCCGACTATATCCTATAGCTGCCATATAACTGATTGATCGGAAATGACCCAACTTTCGTGTTTTTGAAGATAGAAAGCTGGAATTTGCAACAGATTATATCTTTGGTCAGTTAATCCGACCTACGAAATTTCATTAGGATCGGCCGACTATATCGTATAGCTGCCATATAACTGATTGATCGGAAATGACCCAACTTTCGTGTTTTTGAAGATAGAACGCTGAAATTTGCTACAGATTATATCTTTGGTCAGTTAATCCGACCTACGAAATTTCATTAGGATCGGCCGACTATATCCTATAGCTGCCATATAACTGAACGATTGGAAATGGTATTTGGTAGAAATATCAACTTTCGTATTTTTGAAGATAAAAGCTTGGGACTTTTTTTTAGATTTTTTATTGTAATTAATTGGTTTTATTATGATGTAATCATAAGGATCGGCCAACTATATCTGATGTTTGCGATATATATCCAGTTTTAACTGCAAGGGTATATAAACTTCGGCTCCGCCCGAAGTTAGCTTTCCTTTCTTGTTACTTTCTTAAATAGATTTGGAACCTATCCTCGATGAGATTGATGAAGTCTTAAATGAGATGATCGCGGGCACCAGAATGTCACCCGTGGATCCCAATGAGGAGCAAATAAAGTATTTCAAGCCTTGTGTTATCAAGGACCAGCATCACGATCAAAAGGTATGAAATACATATGCATCAAAGCCTTTAGATAACTATTCTTTGTCTGAGCAGGTTAGTCAGATAGAAGGAGTTTTTACAGACGTAAGCAACCAGAGTCGTTGGCGGAATGAGACCACCAACGAAGTAAATCGTAAACGTGTAGCCAGATCCGTCTCGCCCCAAGCAACCCGTATGTTAAATAGCAATATTTTAAAAAGAATCTATTCAGATTTATAGTTTGTTTGCCTTGCAGCTGGCCACAAAAATCGTCGTTTATCAGAAGGAAGCGAATGGTTGGAACTTACACCAAAAAGACACATCTTTAACGAACTTTCAGAGCCCTCAATTGCTGAAACTGAAGAAAATACGGTTGAAATAAATACAAATTCTTCTCCTCAGGCTGAAAAGGAAACCACAAAAGCAGTTGGACAAATTAATAAAACGTCTCCAATAAAAAGTGATAGTGAGGAACCTGAAGAAACAGGAGTCGCTAAAAAAGAACAGTCGGGAAGGCGTAGAAAATGTACGTCTTCTAGTTCTGACGAGTTGGACATCAAAAAACCAAAACGTGCCAAGGAGTCCTCAATATCGGAGGAGCCTAAAATGGAAAAGAAAAATACTCTACAAAAGAGTACAAGTGATACATTGGTATCTAAAACAAACACACTGAAAAAACTTAATAAGGAAAATAAACGCGATTCATTCACAGTTGAATTACAAAATAGTAATGATGATCCCAAAATATGTTCGCCAAGCATTATACTTAAAATAAAGCGGTGTAACCAGTCACCAGTACCATGGGATAACCAATTGGAACCATTGAATACTTCAGAGAGCACTACGAACGATTCTTTTGAATCGTCCCTCTCTGAAAACCCTACTGAAAAGACCATTTCCAAACGTGTAACTTCGAAAAAAAGAACTGGAGTTTCAAAAAGAAAACCGAGGTCGGGATCCAAGAAAGACTCCTCCCTTTCCATTGCCGAAAAGTCACATGAAATCCAAAAATCAAATCGAATTGTAGCCCAAAAGGGCCGATCAAGAGCCAAGTCTAAAGCCAAGTCTAGTGAGCCAGAAGTGAAAGAAGCTCCAAGAAGAAGATCCGGCGGCAGATCAAAAGCCATCTCCGAGGAACCCAGTGGCGATGGCACAAATGTTCAAAAAAGCAGATCAAGAGCCAAATCCAAAGCCAAATCTAGTGAGCCAGAAGTGAAAGAAGCTCCAAAAGGCAGATCTAAAGCCATCTCCGAGGAACCTAGTAAGGGCGATGTTACAAATGTTCCGAAACGCAGATCAAGAGCCAAATCCAAAGCCAAATCTAGTGAGCCAGAAGTGAAAGAAGCTCCAAGAAGAGGATCTGGCGGCAGATCAAAAGCCATCTCCAAAGAACCTAGTGAGGGCGATGGACCAAATGTTCCGATAAGCGGATCAAGAGCCAAATCCAAAGCCAAATCTAGTGAGCCAGAAGTGAAAGAAGCTCCTAGAAGAAGATCCGGCGCCAGATCAAAAGCCATCGCCGTGGAGCTGAAGGACATATCGAATAAAGTTCAGGAACCTATTAAGGGCAATGTTACAAATGTTCCTAAAAGCAGATCAAGAGCCAAATCCAAATCCAAATCTAGTGAGCCAGAAGTGAAAGAAGCTCCAAGAAGAAGATCCGGCGGCAGATCTAAAGCCATCTCCCAGGAACCTAGTGAGGGCGATGGAACAAATGTTCCGAAAAGCGGATCAAGAGCCAAATCCAAAGCCAAATCTAGTGAGCCAGAAGTGAAAGAAGCTCCAAAAGGCAGATCAAAAGCCATCTCCGAGGAACCTAGTGAGGGCGATGGTACAAATGTTCCAAAAAGCAGATCAAGAGCCAAATCCAAAGCCAAGTCTAGTGAGCCAGAGGTGAAGGAAGCTCCAAGAAGAAGATCCGGTGGTAGATCAAAAGCCATCGCCAAGGACCTGAATGACATATCGAATAAAGTTCAGGAACCTAGTGAGGGCGATGTTACAAATGTTCCTAAAAGCAGATCAAGAGCCAGATCAAAAGCCGTTGTCGGGGAATCCGTAAAGAAAGAACCCCCTAAAAGAAGAAATGCCCGTTCCAGCAGTGCCAAGAAATCGCTAGATAGTTCTAAAACCTCCTCCGAAATGGAGCCTAGCGAGGATGGGGCCAACAATAAACCCAAAGCGACTAAAGTGGGAGCACGAAAGGGTTCTGCAGCTCCCAGTTCTAATAAAGGAGAAGCCATCGTCGACAAGAAACCAAAACGGGGCAGACCAGCTGCGAAGCCTAAAGAACCTGTTACTGAAAAGGATAAAACCCAACTGAAAAGTACTAGTGAACCTATTGAAGCGGAGGTTGTTGAGAAACCAAGTAAGAAAGATGAGGAGGTTGGCACTAAACCACCACCCAGAGCCCGTAAGTTTTGTAATTTAATTTCTTAAAATTCAGTTATTAAATATTGAGTCTAATTTCAGCATCCATGAGATTAAGTATGACCCCACCCGATTCTCTAAGAGGTAATTATTTTAAAGTTCAACCTTAAACAAGAAATAATATTACTTTTTTGTATTAGCCATCACACAGTACATCAAACAAGTCAGATTAGATGGAAAAATCAAGATAGTGTTTAGCATGTGCGATCGGAAACCACTGGAAAGAGTCTTAAAATCCCTGCAGAGTGAGTAGCGGAAAAAATTATCCCTATTAGAATCTACAATCTAAACCACTTTCAGAGGTTATTGAGGTCACCGAAGACCCTTTGAAGTGCGACCTGGTCATCATGGATCATGGCGATCGCACATACAAATTTCTTGTTGGCGTCGCTTCCAACAAACCCATTCTTTCTAGCAGTTGGCTCCACTCCGTTCGAGCCACGAGCTGTATTAGCGTTAAGGATGATCATCTTTTCCAGGACGAGAGCTTTGAAGAGAAGTTCAAGTTCCGTCCCATTTCCGTACTGGAGGGCCCCCGTCTGCTGCACGGACTAACATTTTTCCTTCGGGACGGTATCCAGCCTAGCGTGAAGGAAATGCAAGGCAAGTGTTGGCAAAAAGGCCCTTAAGTTTTATTTATTAATGATTTTCTTCAAAAATAGCAATTATTGAATGTGCTGGCGGGAATGCCTACCTCAAACGACCCCCTCTCTCTACGATCGGCGACATCTTTGTAGTCACCACACCGCAGGACTGGACGTCCAAGAATATCATGCGGGACTTTGCAAAAGTACACTTCATTAAACCAGAGGGAATAATGCAAGCTCTCCTCCAACATAAGCAGGAACTTGTAAAGAATTTTCCGATTGAATTTGAAAGTTAATGGTTGAATTGTGTTAATTATTTGTTTTCTTTTTTTTGTAATTATTCCACAACGGTCATTCCAGTTTGTTTATTAAATAAATTGTACGATATTGCCTTATTGCTTTCTACTCGAGTTTCTTTCGTTTCGATCCTGTGGGCTTGTCGAACTGCTGCCTCATGCCGCCAGCGCGTTCATTGTGAAATTTGATGTTATTAGCCGACTCTGCATACCATGGTGAGTCGAATTTGGTGGTGTCTTGGTCTACTAAATGCGTGTACTTCGTTCGGCCACAGCGGCCGAAGTTCTTCACCTGCATCACCTTGGGAAGAATGGTCTTATCGAAGTGGTCCTCCAAAGTCGCCTGCGCAAAGTCGCGTTTCAGCACGTCATTCTCCTCGTCCAGATAGAAAGCGCCCCGATGGTAGTACTTCTGCAGGAATTTGTACTTGCCCTTGGTGGCTTTGTTTGTGACCGTTTTGGGATTCTGACGAAGCTCTTGCCGTCGTTCTTCCTCTGTAAGGTTGCGCATTCTATCGATTTCTAGCTTCTCCCTCTCGTTGCTGAAAAATAATAATTATTGAGCATATTCTAAGTGATTCTTAAATGTCTAGCACTTACTTATCCCGCTCTTCCCGGTCCCTCTTCATCCTCTTAAGCTCGCGCAGCTTCCATGCCTCATACTCTACTTCGTCGTTTTCGTCGTCTGTACAGACATCTTCGATGCAGGCTTCATTTGTCTCCGGCTTGGTCTTCTCCAGATCTTTTTTGACGCTTTCCTCCACCATGCGCAACGTGGCTCGTCGCCGTTCCTTGGCCGCTCTCTTGTTTTCCGCTTCGATTTGCTTTTGTTTCTGCGCCTCCCTTTCCTTCTCTTGGATGGTGGCGCGATCTCGCTTCCGCACAAACAAGGGCTTCAGCCGTGGTTCGTTGTCCTCCTCGCTTTCTGTCTCTTCCTCGTATTCGGAGCTTTCTGACTCGGAAGATTCAGACTGTTTCTCATCCTCTTTCTGGAGCACCTCCTCTTCGCGCTGCTGTTGCAACATTCGGGCCCTGAGCTGCTCACGCCTATTCTCCATCTCTGTATCACTGAGCTCCGCATCTGAATCGGACTCGGAGGCCAGTGTAATCTTGTTTGTGCCTCGTTCAATATGCTTCTGCTGATCCTGGGTTTCATCGTTCTCCTCCTCGTCCTCGCTGTTGCTTTCCAGCATCTCAGGTTCGTGAATGTGCCGATGGCGCTCCCGCCGCTCTCGTTCCATGTCCTCCGCGTCTGCAGTTGGACGTGCCCGCAAGCGACGCAGGCGGGGATCATCAACCTCCGCTTCATCTTCTTCATCACCTTCGGGCTTATCTTCAGGCTCAGCACTTCCACTTCTTTTGGAGAGCTCAAGCTTGTGACGCTCGGATTTGTGGCGCTCTAAGCGCTTCTTGGTGTCAATGAAGTCATCCTCGTCGCTCTCTTCGGAACTAGAATCCGCACGTGCGTAGTCAGGTCTCTTTCCGGATATATAACGCTGCACCTTCACCTTTTGCATAGACAATTCACCTGGAAGAGCATTGTAAACAATGAATTTTATGTGGAATTGGTTTTACAGCTCTTACCCTTTTCATTCCTCACAGGAATGGCACCTGCAGTGCTCTGAATGCCCGAAGGAGGTGCCGGGCCACTCATCTTGTTGTTAATCTATTTGTTTCTGTAAAAATTGTAAATAAATGGACAGAATAGTAGAACTGCAGAAGTTAGAGGTGAGAAAGTATCAATGAAATCGTAATGTATCGATATGTAAAAAAGTATCGAATCAAAAAAAGAATCGATACGCACTTATCGAAGTATAGTATTGAAAAGGTGGCAACGCTTGGATTTTACGCGGGTAAATTTAAATTTGTGTGTTAACTCTTGTGTCCCAGTTATAATGACACTTCGAAGATTGCAGATAGATTTTATGTTTTCACAAAAACTGGTTATTGTCATTTTGAGGGCAGTCGTTTTGTAATAGAATGTCGGAAGTGCAATGACTTGGAATATCTTCCGCTAATTAAGACATTTAATTAACCTTCTGAATAAAGGCTTGTAAGAATTTTTTTAGCAATGTCAACGCCCACAGTCATTAAAGCTAGAATTGACTACTACGCTTTCACCCAGACGGTTTCCCATAATTTTCGATGGGGTTGTGTAATGATAAAATTGAATAACCAGAGCTAAGAACTTTTAAAAAAGATCTTAGAGTTTTTGAGATATTTTTTTGGGAGTTAGTGAAAAGTGTTAAATACCTTAAGCTTTGGGCTTGTGACATTACAGATTCTGACAAGGGGAGGTCTACCGCATTATGGATTCAACTGCCACTACTCCCAAGCACGTGTGGATTTCGAGTTGTGGCTGTCTGGTTTTCAAAAATGTTCTTACTCCCAACAAACGAGCTGGCCAAAGTCCGAAAAACTACTAGAGGCTCGACCTGTTTGGTGACGTCCCAGTCACTTGCATCTAAGAGATATAATGTCTGGGTTGGCAGTTCGATTCGGGCCTAAACACTGCGACGCATTTGCCGAACTGCTTTGAACTGCTTTTGGTCGGAACACCAGCTTAATGGCCAAGATTTACATGGGACTGTTAGTTAACGAGAAGTCGGGGCGGGCACACTACATTTAATTAATGCAACACGCTCCGCGGCTAAAATGCATGAGCAGCTTCCCGCTAATCTTCCACTAACTGAAATAACTCACCGACCTTAGTCCAAGGTGGCTGGGTCTTGGAGACTTTCCGTTCGACAATCCGGGGAAGAACCCCAAAAGCCGAACTCTTTTTTTCGGTAAAACGGGAGCATAAGACTCTTCCACGTGCATTTTCCATTTCCCTTGGGCCTAAATGTAAATTTATGGTGATCGGGGACATTTCTCTTTGAACTATCCGGCGCGCCATTTCAATTCCAATTTCTAATACATTTCAATTAAAATTAAACACTCACACTGGAGCAACGAATGTAAACAAATAATTTCCTATTAACGAGGAGAGTGTGGGGCTCTGATGGGGAGGAAGAGTCATGCCTGATCAAAAACGTACCAGATCGAACTCGTTATCGTTATCCAAGTAAGACATAAAACACATAACCAGCCTGAGACAATTGAGGCGAAGCGACAAAATACGAAAAACGAAAGATAAAATCAATTCAGAACCGCCACACACATTATTAATTGGCGCGCATTTTGTTTCTCGAGTTACTTAAAAAGTAATAATTGCCAGTGAAATGGACACTTACACACTCAGCGCATATTCAATGAATCCATCACGCAAGCCCAAAACCCACTAAGGAACACTTCATCTTTTGTTTACAACGCATTTCATTAAACTCACTTCTGTACTTCTCAACCGGTCAATTGGCGGCCTAAAGTGGAGGTGGAAAATACTGGATATCTTCTTGTAATTTCCTTGGAGTGAGATGGAAGTTCTTCTTAGAAAAAATAAAAACTTACCCAGTCGATATGCCGAATGGTTTAGTCAAATTAGAAGCTTTCTTACCTAACTAATAAATTTTGAGTAACTAGTTTTTTTAATATTTCATAACATATTTCGTAATGTATATATTTAAAGATATTTCCAAGTAATAATGGAATATTTATAAGTGACACTTAAAATTTAAAAAAAGTTGCCTATATTTTGGGTCTCTAATGCCAACGGCTCTCTCGGCTTCCTAGACGATCGGCAACGGAATATCCGGTGTATCGGGCTGATCGGGCCTGCTCTTTCTTCGATTTTTGCTCTTTCCCCATGCTCCAACTCGGCGAAGAGAGATCTGGGGGATCCCGAAGCTGGGTGAGATCTGCGATCTTTGATTTGCCAGCGCTGCCTTCGGTGTCGTATAAAAAGCGTAACGGCCGCTTGCAAACTCATTCATTCAAAAATTGTCAATACGTTCGAACATCGAGGAGATCCGAGCTCAATAACAAACCATCCAATCAAAGAATTATTCAAAGAAAAACAAAACACAAGCTCCTCAAGGAAAAAACTAAATAAACCAAGTGATATACATATATTTGTTGAGTGCTTGATAAACTAAACCTTAAAAACACGTTAATGAAATACAGAAATAATCGCGGAACAATCCTACAAATTCAATTCAGAACATTCTTAGTTACAAGTTCTCTTCCAAGTTTGAATAAAATTAAGTGTTGACGACTCAAGATTATTCAAGGATTTTGGTCCTTACGGATTGGAGATAAGGAATTCGAGGTATGTTTGTCAAATTCGGTTAAAACAATTAACTAAAATATGTAAAAAACTAAAAGTGGCCAAGTGATGCACTAGTGCACTAATGATAAAGTGCCAACTATTGTTGACAACAAAATGAGGATATATTTTTAATGAAATACGACGTTGGTGCTAAAAAAAAACTTTAAACTTAAATAGAGATTATAATTTATGACTTCACGCAATGCATAATAATTATTTAAAAGCCCTTAGGGCTTACCAAACAAAAACAAATAAGAGAACATCAGCTGTCTCAGTTTATTGGGCTTCGCAATATTCTCAATATTCTCAATTCTAGTTTCCTAGGGAAATTACTTTGATTGATTTGAGGCAACGACCAGAGCTCACCCACTTCCCACTTGCCACCCATCTTTTCCGCTTGATGGAAATGCGCAAACAGTTTGCGCCACAAATCAAGTCAAATGTTTTTTATTATTTTGTTTAAATTAAAAAAAGAGAAGGGGTAACTGCGACAAGATAACAGCCAACAGAACAGAGGAACAAAATAAAGTCAAACCTCGCATTCCAATCGTCGTCCAAGATATGGGATCTTGAGATATTAAAGATGCTGTGACATTCGAGGGCTGGGGAAAAAAAAGAAAGTACTAAAAAGCCTCAATAATTAAGAAATATGGCCCTTATGGAGTGTAACTCACTTCAGCTTTCACTTAAGCCTCCCTGTAAAATAAAAAAATATTTAATGGTGGTTTACTGAATAATTTATGAATTCATAATTTACATCTTACCTTTTTGTGTGGCATCGCGAATGGTGTCCGATGAGGATATAAATAAATCGGTTTTAGGCCATAACCTCAAAAACAAAACAAAAATATTAAAAACCCTATAAATATTTTTTATCAATATCATAGTTTGGTTTATGTTTCTCTAGGTGCATAAAACTTATATCATAAGCCCATGTTGGCCAGAGCTCTCTTCGGAGAAGCTCTACATCCAGCTCTTTGCTTTCGGCCTTGCCATCTAAAAAGTGGGAGGCTGGCGCTCTCCGTATCTTCGCCAGGCAATGGCGAATTTCTGGCCAAAACCGGCGCAATCCGGCTCAGTTCACTGGTCACCGATCTAAACCAGTTGAATTCGCTTAAATCTCGATTGGCGAGCTCACTCTTCGCATTTTCGCTCAAATGGCTCTACTTTGTAGCCATTTCGATTATTTTTTTTGTATTTGTATCTGTATCTGTAAGATCCACTTTCCATGTGTATGTCCATGCAGGACAGGAGCAGCTTTTCTCTAATAGTTTGATTGGCTCTGGAAAAGTGGGCAATAGTGGGAGACGGCAGGAGGCAAAGTCGAAAGGCAGAAGAGGAGGCGCCACATCCAGTGCTCTGTGGTCATCAAAAATGATTGTCGAGTGTTTGGGACCAATTAAGCCGAGTACTGATTGGTATCAGTGGCTGGTTGCAAAACGGTTTATGATTTTTATGATTTAACAATTATAGGAAGCAAAATGAATGTGTAATAAATTATTGTGCCTCATATACCACGAAGGGTGATTCTTTTTTAAAAAGTTTTCTATCTTGTTTTTAGAGCCAGACTTTTAGAATAAATTAATATATTTCATTTTTAATTTATTCAAATTAATGATTAAAATATATTTTGTGAATCAAAATACGCCGTAGAAGTCCCATGCAAATATTTACAAACATCATGCTAAACCCTTGGCCCGCAAACATTATCCAAACATTCAAATCGGGTCTAAACCAGATTGAAACCGGTTGAAATTCTCCCACTTGGCCAATCCACTCTTGTAAATCTTCCAGAGGCCGACACCACTGCCGCAATTTCATCTCGAAATTCCGTCGCGATCGAGAAAAGTTGTCGCCTCGAGGGCCGCCCCGAAAGAAAACATATTAATCATAAAGCAATTACGCTCAAATGGAATTGTTTGTTTGAGGAAATAATGTATTTGTACTTGAACATGAGCCACTGGCCAATGGCCTCTCCTCCCACCGCATTCTGCCCCCCCATCGGATTCTGATCTCTTGGTTAATTAATTAATGGCTTCCAAAGATGACACCCAAGCTGACACCCACGATTTGGGGACTTTGTCGTGCCGCCTCGTTGCAATTTAAAAATTTCTTTTTTGGCGAACCTTGATCTTGCCATGATCTAAGCTATAATTTCGCTTTTCTCGTTTCAGTTTGAAGGCACTGTGCCGTGTGGAAAGTCGCGAGAAGAAAGCCTCTCCCATCGACTTCGTACTCAGTCCTCGAAGGAAGCAGTCTAAGGATCCAGGATGTTCGCCACGCAGGATACTATTCTCAAGCTGCTGACCCTGTGCGCCCTGGCACATTCTATTACGGCCCTTGCCCTGCAGCCGACTCCGGTGGCCGGATCGGCTCCTTTGGACCCCAGTCACAAGTACCTGATTGTGCGAGGGGAAACGCCGGTAGGATCGTCGGCTTCACAGGAGCATGTGGACTTTGACAACGCCGCCACCCTCCTGCTGCAGTCCTTCAGGGCCCAGCAGACTACCTCTCCAGATGGCCTGGAAGAGTGCAGTGCCCCCAGCCACAAGGCAACCTTTTCTGGCTATGATTACGTGATCCTGCTAGGGATGCTGGTCATTTCGCTGGGCATTGGCATCTTCTATGGGTTCTTCCAGAAGGGCGGCAGCTCCTCAAATGAGTTCCTGCTGGGCTCTGAGATGAGCATTTTCCCGGTGACCCTCAGCCTGACTACCAGCTTCATCACGGCTATAGAGCTGCTGGGAAATCCTTCGGAGATGTACTTCCAAGGCACTCAGTTCGTGCTGATAGTTATACCCATGGTCCTAGTGATTCCAGTGGCTGTGAAGATCTTCTACCCGATCTACTTCAAAATGGAACTGACCAGCTGTTACGAATACCTGGGAATACGATTTGGCAAAGAGATCAGGATCCTGGGAGCAGTGCTCTATGTTATACAGGTTTGTGGTTTACACATATATTGGTGGTTTTATAAAGCGAATTATGACCTCTCATCTCCCTTCAGATGTGCTTCTATACGGCTGTGGCTGTCCTGGCTCCTGCCATCGCTCTTTCGAAGGCTACAGGCCTGGACACCAAAATTGCTGTTGTCCTGATTTATGTGGTCTGCGTCTTCTACTCCTCCCAAGGTGGTATGAAGGCTGTGGTCATTGCTGACTCCTTCCAGGTAAGCTTCTTAATGGAAACCCTTTGGCATATGATTTGAGCTCTTGCATCTCTATACAGGCTGCTGTTCTGGCTGTATCCTTGGTGTTGATCGTAGGTCTGGGAAGCTTCTACAGCGGTAATCCCATACAGGTGTTCCAGACGGCTGCCGAACACAATCGCTTGGAGTTTTTCAAGTAAGTGAAAGGATTTCCCAGGATCTCTTAGGTTTTTAATAAATTTTGTCCTTGTTCAGCATGGATCCCAGTCCTACTACTCGTCACACCGTGTGGTCGGTGGTTATCGGTGGCTTCTTCTACTGGACATCCCTGTTTTGTACCAACCAGGCCTCTGTTCAGAAGTGTATGTCCTTGAAGTCCCTCCGGCTGGCCAAGATCGCACTGGGCTTCGCCATTATTGGACTCATTGTGGTTTTCCTTTTGAACTTCTACACCGGTCTGATGGTCTTTACCCACTACGCCGACTGTGATCCTCTGACAGCAGGACGCATTTCTGCCACGGATCAGCTCCTTCCCTACTATGTGATCAACACATACGAGCACATCTATTCTATCGCTGGAATCTTTGTGGCTGGAATCTTTGCCGCCAGCTTGGGGTATGCACTCATTTTCAATCATTGATAGAAGAGGTATTAATTGTGTCCTCTATCCTCCAGCACTGTGGCCTCCGCTTTGAACTCCCTATCTGCTGTGACTTGCGAGGATCTCCTGGTAAATGGCATGAACATCAAAATCTCCCCTGAAAAGGGAGCCACCTATGCCAAGTGGATGTCCCTGGGCTTCGGTATTGCCTCCTTCGGCCTGGTTTTTATTGTGGAGCACTTGGGCGGAGTTCTACAGGCTACTCTCACCTTGAACGGATTGATTGGCGGCGTCACCCTGGGACTCTTTGTCCTGGGCATCGCCTGCAAGCAGGCTAACACAAAGGGTGCCTTCTACGGCGGGCTGTTGTCCCTAGTCCTGGTGATCTTCGTGGGAGTAGTGGCCCAGATAGCCAGTGTGGAGCAACCCGCGCTTCCCACCTCCATTGAGCACTGCGATTGTCACGTCAATATGACAACCATAGCTGAAGACATTCTTACTGAACCCATGACCCTTGCAGAGGACGGCGGTTTTACGTAAGTTTTATTGTTTAATTTCGTTTATAAACTATGGTTGGTAACTAAGTACATTTCTTATAGCTCCTGGCCCATTTTCCGCCTCAGCTATATGTGGTATAGCATGATCGGATGCCTCCTCACCGTCTTCCTGGGCTGGCTCATCTCCCTGGTGATCGACTTCATCCAGAGGCGCAATGTCCTTAAGATCACCGGCAAGGGAATCGATAACCCCGCCGTTTCCGAGGAGGTCTTCAAGAGCGACTCCCAGGTTCAGTACACCACCTCCATCAGTGTGGCCACGGAGAGCACTACCGTGATGGATCCCAAAGACACGAAAACCGACACAGGCCACGTGAACCACGCCATACGCATCGATGATGAATAGAGCCCGACTATGAACAAAACGATGGGGCGGGAAGTGGCCTTCCCACCTAACTATTCCTTCTGTAACCTGTAACCTCCATGTACAAAGACCAGTCGCAATCCTAACTGTCCTAGCTTAGTCGAAAGAGTGATTTCTAGTTCGTAAGTCCAACGCCGAGGCTTTTCGGCACTCGACACAGTATTCTGTATACACAAACCACTTACTAATGTTACTACGAAATGAATTTATCCTTAAGCTCTACTTTAAGGCATTATACAAAAATAAAACCCATATATATTCCAAATCTGCTTGTAACGACCAATGCATTCCATTCCAGAGATTTTTCAATGAAGTTTATTTCGTTTGGGAATTTAAATTCGAAAAAATATCATACACATATTAAATACAATAATTTCAATGCCTTAATAGATTTACAATTTAAAACATTCTATTTATATTTACATGGAACAGCCGGCTCACGAATCACGTCACGCTGATCTCCTCGTCACTGTCCGAGTTGGAGTCGTCATAGTCGTCGTAGTAGAGCTTCATAAACTCTGACCCCGTCTGATGTTGCTGTTGTTGTTGCTGCTGCTGATGCTGCTGCTGTTGCTGCTGGTGGTGGTGATGCAGTTGCGCAGCAGCTGCTGCAGCGGCCAGCTCCACCTCCCGCATGGCACTAAAGTGCGGCGAGTGGTGCAGTTGCTGCTGGAGCTGCTCGAACCGGCGCTGCTTGGCCTCCTGGATGCTGCTCTCCAGCTTGAACTTAAGATCGGCGGCCACCAGCTGCTTCTGCATCTCCGCGTTAATCTTGGCCTGGAACTCGGCGGCTGCCGCTGGAGGCGATGAGGCAGCATTGGCAACTGTTCCAGGACCTGCTCCAGGAGTGGGCGTCACGGCCGCCGACTGATCACCCATTTTCAGAGAGGTTAGGAGCGGAGGCGGTGAGCTGATTTGCATTCCGTAGCCCTGGCTGGGGGAGCTCCTGCTGCTGGCGGATTGCGGGGACTTGGGGGTGATGGCCGCCGCTGGGGGCTCGTCCTTGGCCACTGCCCCCATCGGCGGAGGCGAGGCACTGCCATTGGGTGAGAGCAGGCTGGGCGAGATTGGGGTTAGCGGGCGATCGCACTTGGCGTCGGACAAGTCGGGGTTCGGGTTATTTTTGTTGGGAAGCGTCTGGTCGCGGGATCCGCCACTGGCGAGAAGCTCCCGCTCCTTGGAGTTCCGCCACTTCATGCGACGGTTTTGAAACCAAATTTTCACCTGCGAATGAAGGAAGAAATGGGGATTATTCAAAAGTATTCAGAGTGAGATGGGTAAATTGAGACTGTCCATCTGCAGATGGAAGTCTGTCCGCCGCAGATATGGACCCACAGCAGGCGGACAGCCCAGGACATAGTTCAGCAACTTTTCATGGCCAGCGGATGCTCCTCTCCTTCCACTGACCCCCCCAGTTGGAAGCTGGAACTTTTGCGTCCTAGCCAAACAAAACTTTTCTGTGGCAAATTGAATCTCCCATGAGCCCACTTGGCCGGACGTGTGTGTGGGCGTGGCCTTGGGTGCGGCAAAAGTTTGAACTGCAATGCCAGCGCCAGACGCCGGGCATATCCATAATAAATGCAAATTAGAGACATTTCCCAAAAGCGGCAACAAATTGATTAGGGATGCACAGTGGCTGTGGATGGTAAATCTATTAAGCTAAGAAGGTCTTGAAGCTTTGAGTCCTTTTCAATAAAGTGTTAGATTAAAATTAAGGATATTTCTATGCGATGCTATGAAAGCTTAGAGTCTTTAATATGTTCTAAATAAATCCTGGATTCCTTCCACTGTGCTGGTCGCCAAACTTGGTCCCGCAAAAATTCTGTAACTCCTCTATCTCACGTACTGTCCTGCCCCCTCTTCCTTGATCCTGGTGGCTGCATTTGACAGGAAAGCAGGGCCGAGACACTTGAAGCAGATTGCAGGACTCGCCTGTCCGGGCAGGACTAGGCAGCATCCTTGCCCCACCTCTTCATGGGCTGTTTTTGAGTTATTGTACGCGGCCCAGGCGCAGGACCTGCCCCGGTTGTCTCTCCCTTGTTGTTTGCGAAGCCTGTGCATGCCTATGACACAGCAGGACATTCGCACTTTGTAGCAAAGCCAAACAATTTGCAACAATTTATGGGCGACCCCCACCCCGGTGGTAATTAGATTGTGACTTGATGTGAAATTTAAAGCAAATTGATGCGTGAAATTGGGGGAGGCAGCCCACACCCCACGGGAATCGAAATCCGCTCTAATCTGCGGCGCTTATAAATAAATAAATAAGTAAACAACGGCCACAAAAAGCTGCTGACATGTTAAACAAGCGATTAACCGCAGAAATTTCTTAGTATTTTCTTCCTCGTGCCACCCCTTGTGGCACGTGCCTCCTTTTTCGGTTTGCTGTTTCGCTTACTTCCGGTCATTGAGTTTTCCGCGTCTGCCCTTCGGATTTCCACCACACCCCGACTCCAACCCGAACCCCAACCCCAATCCCCAGGCCAATTGAAATAATAAGCTCAGGCGGCGATAAGATTAATGATTATGGGTCCGGCCCAAAGCCAGTCTCTTTTTGGGGGGAAAGGAGTCGGAAGTTGGAACCACCGAGCCACCGTCGTCATCGTCGCCGTCGTCTGTTTTTGATGGAAATTAATTATAAAGCCTGCAGTTTAGTGCGCCAAGGCGAGGCCTCCTCAAAGCCGGACACTTTCCGACCAAAGTTCTGATTCAAACTCTTTTGGAAAGAAAATTACTAAAGTAGTGGATACTGCCTGTTCCAATTAATCTATTCCGGATCACAATTACTAAGCTGGCTAACGGAAATACCTCAATAAACAACTCGTTTTGGGTTGTTATTCAAACATGAACTGCAATCGACAGACTCCGGAACGAGTTTAGTTCGGATGTGTTAGTCCGGCTTGTTAACAAATATTGGCCATGTAACGCTAGTTGCCCCACCCCCCATCACCCGGAGCCAGAACATATAATTATTGTCTAACACAAAAATATTCGTTTTATTTTTCGCTGGCCAAACAATAATTTAATTTATGCAAACATTTGTTTTGGCGGAAAAAGCTTAAATTCAATATTCGTGAATACAAATTAGCAGAGTGTCGTAAATATTTTTGTTTTTTGAAATAAGTCAGTTATTCCTATGCATAGAGACATAAAGGCATTAAAGTTATAATGCAATTATTTCTCGCCCAATGGAGTTGAAGAATTCCCTTTAATTTGTAACTCTAGCCCTACAACATCCTCGCCAAAATGAAGTCCTTAAGCACTCACAGCTCCTTTTCGCAGCTAAACGGTGGCCACTTTGTTAAGGACCCAGTCGTATTACGATCCCTTAACAAAGTCCAGCCCATTCCATTGATAGTAAGCCGAAACGATAAGTAACATATTTTTCTGACACGCTGCCAGCATAACGCGCATGGAATTTGTTTGAAGTTTTTATAAACCACCCAGAAGTCAGTGGGGTGGGTTGGGATGGCTACAAATTGCTCCGGGCTTTCCCTCGGCTTCCTTTATTTTTTTTTTTTTTTGCCGAAAATTGACTTTGGCAATGAGCACAAGCTGTTGTTTGTGGGGGAGGAGTCCCGCAGACCGAGTTCTGACAATCTCGTCCGGGGCAACATATGTTAACTAATGAGGCTGGAATACGGGGGTGTGTGGCGGATACCCGGACTGGGTGGCCTGTCAACCCATTTCGAGTGCCGGAGTGCCATTCGATATGCTGCGTAATAGCGTATTAAATAGTCTGCTACTATTTGCCAAAGTCATTCCAGCAGCAGTTGGCAGTGCGTTTTGGGTTACCCTGGCCACAGTCCATTTCTCCATGGTCCACTTCCTGTGTCGGAAGCCCCATCCACCCATTTTTGCGGTTATTGTTTTAGGCAATGCAGGGTGGAGCGGAGAAGTGTTTGCAAAATACTTAGGCTTGTGGCCGGGCGAGCATTTATTTAGCAATTTGTCAAAAATTTATTTTGTAACCAAAGCTGCAAATGATGGTTTTTAATGTTTTTCAATCGTTCTGCTGACGGGGGTTGGCCAATTTTTGCCGGCGAACTGAATTGAAATGTGAGTTATGGGCTTAAGTGTCCTTTGATTCGAGAAAGTTTTAAGCTGAAACATGACGATATCATTCCCTTGTAAAACGACACAGAGTAATATGGTTGTTGTAATATGATAAATAATTACAAAAATATTGAAAAAATGTTCACAAAAACTGTATGAAATTTTTAAAAACATTTAAAATTGCATAGTTTTTTCCTCACTAGCAATGCCTTTTCAAATCCACCCATAAAATGGCATAACAAGACCCATAAAAAATAAATCAAACTCAACAAAGGCCACAATCCCTCAAAGGACTTCAGTCTGCAGATTATCTATCATTCAGTTCGGTTTAAAGCCAGGACGAAAAAGAAATCGAAATCGCAGCCAAAATAAAAACAAGAGTGGAACCCCGACTCCGTCCTTCGACGGAAGTACAAAGGCGAGGCAGACGGAATTGAAAATAAAAATATTTATAACGTGAAAATGCCAAGAGTACTGGAAAAAAAAGGAGACACATGATGGGTGGTGGGGGTGCCACAGTTCCACAGTTGATTGCCGGGCGTTGGCGGGAATTTCCTTTATTCGTGCGGCGCGATTTTATTTTTTGTCGACTCCCCCATTTTCCACAAATCAAAAACAGACGAATTTGTTTTGGACATGACACTTAAAAAGTTGCTGGGCGAAAGCGAGAGGGCGAGTCGGCCAGACACGTGTGCTGTGTGTGTGTGTGTGTTTGTGCGGGGTTGGTATATCCTGGATATCCTGTTGTTCAAACCTAGTCCTCTGCACTGTTCCTTGAGCTTTGTGTATTGATTTAAAAATGCAAATCACATTTGGCCTCAAGATGTTTTCATTTCCGCTCTTTTTGGGAATCTGGCTTATGAATTTGGCAGCCGCCCGCGGTGGCCCTTTTCCCCTTTGCCTTCCATCTCCACCCCCTCGGATTTCCCAGCCTCGAGTGTCATTAATGGCAATTAAATTTATAGCGAGCGGATTATAAGGCTGGTAGCTGTCAGATGCAGTCACCTACTCAGAAAGGGCGCGACTGATGGGAAAAGTGTGCGAGTTTTCTGATGCAAAACATGCTAAAAGATATACAGGCCATAGACCATAGGAACACATGAAAACCCATTAGTCTCTTATTACCAAATAACTCTGCAGACGTGACTTGCATTGCAGAGAACCCCATACCTCTTCATAGAAATCGCCCATAAATCGCGGTGGCTGCAA